CAGACCAGTCATGTGTAGTCTTTTTTTTAAAGGGTTTAGACAGATATGTGGCTGACTTGCAGCACTCAGCATCTGAAAGGCCTGCTGTAGTTAAATATCAGGAGATGCATCATGTTCTTATACTGGATGAAAAGAAGAGGAGCAAGCTTTGCATTCATGTGGTAGATAGACAATTAGGGGGAAAAAAGAACGAAGACAGATAGTGCATTACGCCCCCATTCCTTGTCATTGGCACCAAAAATGTAACAAGACATGCAAGAAACACTTATAGGGTTATTCACAAAAGGGTGAGTAGTTTGGAGAAGACAGGAGAAATGAACAATCTAGGACAACATAGCTGAACTGGAAAGTCAGCTGAATTGGAGAATTTTTCCAAATCAGCTATTTTGGCCTAGATTGTTCACTTCTCCTGTCTTCTCCAAACTCTTGACCCTTTTGTAAATAGCCATATTAGTAAAAAATTGCTTGAGAGAAAACCAATGCAAAATAATGTATCACTGGTACCACACGCCTGACTTTCTGCATTCTTTTAATCCAACGTTATCCCCAAATTGCTGGAGATGTGATTGTGCTAGACCAGTGGTTCTCAACTCGTGGGTCGCGACCCAAAAGTGGGTCGCGACACCCTCTGCAGTGGGTCGCGGCGTCATGTAGAGGTACCCTGTTTCATATATTCTGCCCAGATATACAGCCCTTCTGGGAAATCGTTAAGCTTACACTAGAACAGGTAATTGGACAAACTCTTTCCTTTTCTCCTATACACTATTTGCTAGGTTTGATGTTTCCCCGCCTTTTCGAGGGCGAATGGCAGATTGGTGATGCATGTCCTAATAGCGGCTTGCTGTCTCATACCACTACAATGAAAACGGAAGATCCCCCCATCTAGACTTGTACTATATGCCCGAATTAAAGATGTTCAGGTTATGGAATATTTGACGGGACGGCTCAATAACACTCTCAACGCTCATGGGAAAGTGTGGGGAGCATGGCTTTCCCAGGAAGAGAGCACTAGCTGAGGTGTGGGTACAGGCTGGGGGTCGTGGCTTGGACAGTGACTAATTAAAAATGGAACGGTGCAGATTGAAGTTACCTGGGGGAAGTCCTGGTACATTCCACCCATTTGGGTAGCTACCCTGGAAGATGGTCTTTTACAATTTCTTATTCTCTCTTCTTCTTTCATCACTTTATTCTTTTTTTTCCTCTTTCCCTTATATAAGGTTAAGACGTCTGATGGATATAGAACTCCGTAAATGGTGAACTGCTACTAAAGATACCAAACTTTACAATGGCTTTCCCAGGAGGAGAGCACTAGCTGAGGTGTGAGTACAGGCTGGTGGTCGTGGCTTGGACAATGACTAATTAAAAATGGAATGGTGCAGATTGAATTTACCTGGGGGAAGTCCTGGTACATTCCACCCATTTGGGTAGCTACCCTGGAAGATGGTCTTTTACAATTTCTTTTTTCTCTCTTCTTGTTTCATAATTTTATTCTTTTTTTTCCTCTTTCCCTTATATAAGGTTAAGACGTCTGATGGATATAGAACTCCGTAAATGATGAACTGCTACTAAAGATACCATACTTTACAATGTATATTGGCTTAACCTAGTAATATGGGATTGTAATGATGTAAATTGGGAACCTCCTGTTTTATAATGAAGTTGTTTACCCATTGTATACGGAATCTTTTATTTTTCTATGGACAGTCAACCAATTTTGTGGCTAATACAGATGTCTTCTTTCTTTGTATAAAACCTCAATAAAAATTGTCAATTAAAAAAAAAAAGCTTGAAGCTCCAAAAAAGTTCATGAGCTTTGCCACACGTGGAGCAGTCCACTAAAATACATGGGCTGCCCTATGCGCGACATACAAAAAACGCACATAAACAAGAAACATTTTGCAAGTGTGGATGGGAGCTTCGTTTTTTTAATTTTTTACCTGAAGCTTCCTGCTTTTAGTACTCTGAAACACATTGAAGTAGAGTTCAGAATTGTAAGCTGCCAATAGAACGCTGTATGAATTGTGTACAAGAATTTGCACAGTGGGTGGCCTGTCAGCACCCTTCCTTCCGGCATCTTTCGATCAGAAAATTGAAGGAGCTGGATGGAAAATTTTTTGGCAAACATCGACAGCAGACAATCCGCTATCTATGCTGTTTGGCTCATTGGCTGGATATAAAGAATATAACAGCGTATGGCCAGCTTTAGCTTTGTTAATAAGCTGAAATTGTGTACATTTTAATCATCCAATCCTGTGCAAGTAAAATTTCGTTCTTTTTTTTTTTTATTTCCTTTGCACATAATTGGATATATGAGTGAACATAGCTTCACCATAATTACTAAGTGAACATTCACTTTTCTACATAAACATTTGAGTTCATGTACTAAAGGAGTAGAAGCTGTCAACTTAGCAACATGAATGTTGGTCAGTAAGGTGAACTGTGTTCACTCAGATTACCCAATCATGTGCTAGCAAACATTAGGTTTTCTTCCCCCTGCACATGACTGAATGTTCAAAGTGAGTACAAGTTTTCCATATTTACTTTCAGTTTGCAAATTGAATATACACTTTAGAAAGTGAAAAGAGGTTGTGATAAAATAGAGGGAACATGGGGTCCTTTTGAATACACAAGTGAAAAACCTTTACAAGTAAATCAATCCCAGTGTCTACTCCGCCCATTCACACCACATCCAGATCATCTCCAGACCTGACCAAAATGCATCTTAATGTATCCCTATGCTATTTCAGGCCTCTGTTCACCCCAGCACAGTCCGTACCAGACCAGACCAGAAACATACTGCATGTCTCATTTTGTCTGGTCTGGAATGCACTGGAACTGCGGCAGGTTCACACCATTTTCTGGACCAGATCTGGTCTGGAAAATGGTGTGAACCTGCCCTTAGTATAACAACCCCATTGCCTCAATCGTGGATGCTTCTACATGCTGTGTCTAAGATTGCTAAGGACAGGGGATGTTTCCTGATCCTGGAAGGAATGTTTGTGGCTTGCAAGTATCCATCCATTGACCGCTTTATTTAATTGTGTGCTAAGAAATGAGTAAGTCATTAAATGCTGAAAAAAGAGTGTCTATTTCAGTACATAATTGTCATATTTAATGTATTGTATTTTGGCATATTTGTGATGTGTTTTCAGGGTGGTTGTTAGCCAATTAATACATTAGAGGATAACAATTCTGAGTTCCTTTGTTGGTAATATTAATCATAGTTGTCATTTTGTGTCCAGTGACTATTATTCACTTGAGGGAATATTATTTTTTAAAAGTGTGGCATTTGGTATTCTGTCCAATTACCTTGAGCTGTCACCCTTAATTTGAAGTGAGCTGCTTGTTGAGTGCAAAGTCCAGAAAGCCAAGAAGTGAACCGTTTACAGCTTTCTATCAATGATGTATACGCATGGGGCTTTGGATAACTAAGACTTTTCGTATCTTTGCATCTCAGATATACCATGACTAAACCTCTGGTAATGATGGCTCACTCAGCTGAAACCTATAAGCAAGGAATTACTTTAGCAGCTCTTTGGCAGAGAGTGTCAAGGTGCATTACTTTGTAACATGATGTAGACCTCAGAACTGAGCAAGTGGACTCCATTCTCCATGTTCATGTGAACACTTGATATTTACGGGTTGCAGATCACCCTCTTCCTTCTACGCTGGAGCTCCTGACTTTGTTTTGCAGCATACTTTCAAGTAATTTTTAGCTCATTCACATGAGTAATGCACTCATATTTTTTAGCACCAGGAAAACAAAGTGGCAAAAGTTTGTTCCTGACATTTTTAGGTACTATCAACACAGGATCATGTACAGGAATTACTTCATTCACATTGAATTAACTGATTCAATTATAGTGAAGCATCATTATGTATGATTGCTGTAGGATATTGGCTAATATACTTGTTTTTTTTAATCCAATTCATATTCTTTACATTTGTATTATTGGATATATTCAGATAAGGTTTTACTTGAAATAGAAATATACTATATAAAATGTAGATAGACACAGAATACACAAAATGTTCATCAATAGATCTAATAAGGTACAGTTACAGAATGCTTGCATTGATTTGAGGAAACAACAAGGATTGTGTAGGCAATACACTAGCTAGGTTAGTGCTGTTAGTCTTTGCTTAAAGCATCAAGGTCTCAGGTTCCCTTCCCAGGGATAAAATCTCTGGTGATTTGTACATATTTTCTCCAGATGCTCCAGTCTTCTTCCAAGTCCAAAAACGACTAGGTTAATAGGTCAAAATTACCCGAGTGTGTTGACAACTTTTTCAATAATCGATTATAATCGATTATGTCGATTAGTTGTTGCAGCCCTACTGTTTACATGGACAAAAATGGTCACGTTGCTGGAAAATTATGAAAATATGTTTAGTCAGCCTATGTGATGGATTTTGAAAATTTTTGCTTTGACTTGTACTTTGAATTTAAAGGGTCAGTCCATTTAAAATTTATATTTCAGTGCCATTGAGTGGGGACTTGTATGTATTGGGCTCTCAACTGGCTAGGTTTCTTTACAGGAGATCTCAGGCTTGCCATAGCTTCTACAGTGTTAATCTATCCACTCCTGGCACAAGCCAACCGTCAGCAACCTTCTCTCCACTGGCACTGTATGATCACACAGACAGTCGTTCACATAGATCAGGCACTCTTTGTATTCTCTCTTTTCCATAGCTTCTATGATATGGTCACACCCTCCCAGATGAATTTGTAGTTGATTTTATGGATTATGCAGGAGGAGAGGGAACACGCCTAGGTAGGGAGGAACACCTAAAACTTCAAGGTGGATGGGGAAAAAGTAAAGAATATGTGAGGAAGCTTTTGCTGTTATAGGAGTGATTATCTCAGCCCACACAGCTTCTCATGGAACTGAAATAATCATTCCTGGGTGGACTAATGCTTTAATACTTTACCGTATTGCATGACTTATGTTTGAAAGCAGATTTTACTGAGTTGTCTATATGTGTTCTCTCGTTATTAGATCCCAGAGGAAAATATCACGTAAGGTTACTTGCTTATAACAATTTGGATGAAGGCTATCAAGCTGATCAAACTGTCAGCACTCCTGTTTGTGTCTGTAAGTAAAATTAAGTTTTATTCTTTGATCTGAAAAGTGATATAAATACCAGAGTCTGTATTACACTGTTACCTTCTGCTCATTAGATCATCCTTGCTTTATTATAAAAAAATCTATACATCTAAAGCCAAAACTTTTTTTCCCCATTTTACAGTAGAGTTAAAACTGCTCTAAGGGTTTTTTTGTTTTTTTTTTGCTATCTGTGTTTCATTAGAGTTATATTTCCCTTAATTTCCTATCCTGTAGACTCAAAAGGAAGTGAGAGGATATCTTTCCAATGTAAGAGGAAATCCCCTCTTAGACAGTTGTCATGGAAACATGTGTCCACGTTAGAAGATTTCCCCTCCACCCCTGTTGTGGTGACAACTCAAAATTTTGGATTTACCCCTCACATTCCGTCCAGGTGACATTGGGGATCAGGATAATTAGAGAGAGTGAATCTTGGTAACAGGGACACATGCAGCAATAAACCTGAGGTTCTTTCTCATCCCATCAATGTTGACAACTGAATCCTCACAGTCTAGCCAGTAACATAAGAGAAAAAATTCCCAGCACACTTACCAGCTAGCCTGTGAAAGAAAAAAATGACACTGTGTAACAATTTGTGGTAAAAACAGAGGTTTTAGTTGCAGAGCATTTGCAAACTATGCGGAAGCCGCACTATCTCTATGTAGCGCAGCGGTCCTCAACCTGTGGGCCGCAACCCAAAAGTGGGTCGCAACTCACTGTTGAGAGGGTCGCAGCATCCATTTCTGCTGTGCTAGGTGAGAGGCTCCTCAGCCTCCTCCTAGCACAGCAGTGTCAGTGTCAGTCAACGGGAGGACAGCAGAGGCTGTGAATATAAAAGTGCCGCTATACACACTCCATGGCCGCTGCAGCGACATCTAGTGGCCGGGGAGTGTGTACAGCAGGGCTTTTCTATTCACAGCCGCTGCTGTCTTCCTGCCTCCCATACAATGCGAGCTCTGCAGGAGGTGGGCGTCTAAGCAGTGCTGGGGCTGAGAAGACTGCATGGAGACAGAGCAGGCAAGCAGGTAGCAGGGGCTGCAGGGGCTTGTATTCTTGTGAGTGTGCTTCTATGTTTAGTCCAAAGTCCAGTACCTTACTAATTATGGAGTCCAGCGCTCCATTGGGGGTCACCACAACTTGGCAAATGTTGCCAAGGGGTCCCGGCCCTAGAAAGGTTGAGAACCACTGATGTAGCGCGATCCTAACTTTACTCAATGAGAGCCCCCATCTTGTATCATATATAGCAATAGATAAATGAAGGGTAGGTATGACTGGAGTTAGCCCATTCCTCCTTACAGGCAAAGGATCACACCAAAAGCCCAGCACATCACAATGGCAGCTGAAGCCCCTTGTGTGTCCCCACACCAAATCCAGCAAAACAAATAAGACAACCGCACAAATCAGTTTATAACCTGTAAGGTGTAAGGAAGGGCTTTTCACAGAACAAATATAAATTTCCCAGTACACTTACCAGCTAGCCAGGAAAAAAACAAATAACACTGCCCAACAAAATATGTGGAAGCTACACTGCCTCCTGGCTAGCTGGTAAGTGTGCTGGGAAATTGTTATATTGTTTGTTCTGTGAAAAGCCCTTCTGTCCTCACCTTTAGTAGGCTATACATGGTGCAAATGTAATCAAGTACCAGCCCAAATTCCCACTATCGGCACCCTTTCAGCCGGCATCCCTTCGATCAGCTGATCGAGAGAGCCAGTTGGAAAATTCTTGGCCAAACAGAGCCAGCAGCCAATCGGGTATTCTGACAGCAGTTGGCAGAATACAAAAGAAGCAGCAGGGGGATTCATCCATCCATGCTCGTAAGCGTTGATGGAGGAATCTGTTATATTTTCTTTGTTCAGCCCGCAGGTTGAACGAAGAAAATATAATTGTGTATGTCCGGCTTTATTTTAAGGTAGTTATAAATTGATTGTTGCAGTTGCCATTATTGTTAAGCTTGCTATTGCCGCATTGGTTTTATACAGAATGTTTTTTCATGTATTTGCCAACTATCAGTTTAATCATTGTAAATAGCGGTGAGGTTTCCTAGGAGCACCCTGAACAATCGTTTTACTTGTATCGCTGTACTTGTATTTACCTGACCCATCTGAGCAAGATTGCAAAAGTGGTTACCTTCCGAAAGTGGCTGAATGTGGGTGGATGCCATTTTAACCCTTTCCCAGTTCTAGCAGCCTGTAAAGGAGATGGAAATAATATATGTGTCTCATCCAGGATACAAATCCCATGATGCTGTGTGCGGTCTGCTCCATGCGGTCTCCCTTTTGCAGGATGTCAATACTTGGTGTGACTAATATCTCCCTCGCTCCCCCTCTCGTTCTTATGAGGAACAATTCACTGCATCCTATGCACTGGGCATTGTTCACATTGTGAACAATCTGTTGCCTTCTGTTTATTACAAAATAACAGCGCGGTCTGATGGGGAGCTCTGACCTCAGCCACGTAAAAGACTTGTGCTTGTCAGTCAAACACAAGGAAGAAAAGCACTGTAGGAGTTGTAGTATTGTGTCAGGGCATACTCTCTGGCATAATGACATAGGCCTACTTTCAGCACTGCCTTCTCTATTCCAAGTGACTGGCAGTAGCATAGGAATGGGGGAATCAATAAAAAATCAAATGCCGAGCACATTATACAGGATTAAAGCATTAATTTACAGGTCTGTACATTTATCAAATAGCTTACATATTGTCTATTCATTTAGATATGTCTGCTTAGAAATCTGTACAGGTATTCTTTCATCTTAGGAAAAACAGTCAGTGTTAAAGCTGACCTTGGAGATAAACAGATGTTGTCTTAATACAAGGGGCATGTCTATTCTTCCTGGAATCTTGGTGTATTTTGTGTATTTCTTTCAGATCTGTGCAGTGTGAAAGTTTGCCTTTGTGTAGGAGCTTCATGTAAAAAAGACCGGTCACTGCTGCTCTCTCTTCTTGTGCAGGGTGACTGGTCTTGCATCCGCCCCCTCCTGTAGTTTTCTGCAGGCAGCCTGTAGTGGGGGGGGAGTGGATTTATATCCTTTGTGGCCCTGGAGGAATATATTGAAATGAACAGGGTTATTCACAAAAGGGTAAAGAGTTTGGAGAAGGCAGGAGAAGTGAACAATCTAGGACTGGGGCGCCCACAATTTTTCATCTGGAGATCTACTTTTCAAATGACGAGCTCAATGAGATCTACCAACGACAAAACACCTGCATTCAGGGGTGGGAGGGGGCGGGACAGTGCATTGAAGTAAATGGCACCGCAATCGCCCGAACCCGGAATACAGGCAGATTAGTGTTGCATCCACTATTTTTGAAGATCGCACTAGAGTGGAACGCAGGCATTAATGTGCCTGCGTTCCGGGTGCGGGCGATCACGCTTAGGGCGGGGTGTGTGGCTGCGGTGCCATTGACTTTAATGCACCGTCACGCCCCCTCCCGCCCCTTAATGTAGGGAGCCGGCCGGCTTGCGTTCCAATGTGTTCTAGAGGCCAAACACTCTGGAACGCAGACTTTGTGGCGTGAACCAACCGTCTCTTCTCTCTCTCCTCACGCTCTCTCCTCTCTCTCTCTCCCCTGTTTCTATCTGTTTTCTCTTCTCACTCTCTGCTGTCTCTTCTCTCACTTTCTTTGCTGTCTCTCTCTTCTCTCTCTCTGCTGTCTCTTCTCTCACTTTCTCTGCTGTCTCTCTCCTGCCTGTCTTTTCTTACCTACACTGCAGCAGCTTCCCAAGTCTCCTCTCCTCTCTCCTTCCCGTCTGCAGCATCTGACACATTCAGCCGCGGAAGGACAGGACACAGGTCAGTGAGCCGATCGCGATCTACCAGTGTTCGCTTTGCGATCTACCTAATGGTCACCCCTGATCTAGGACAACATAGCTGATTTGGAAAAATTCTCCAATTCAGCTCACATTCCAGTTCAGCTATGTTGTCCTAGATTGTTCACTTCTCCTTCCTGCCTTCTCCAAACTCTTCACCCTTTAGTGAATAGACCCGTAAATGTTTTGTTCCTGAAGTTCAGCTTTACACCTGTAATCTGGTCCAAAATAAATTGTATATGTTTCCTGGCTTAGAGGTCATAATCTTCAGCAAAACATTAAGAGCTGTAGGAGCTTCAGTAATTGTAAAAGTATGACTGTTCTTCTCTCCTGTAATACAGCTGTCCCAGATCACATGGTTCCACCTCCTCCACCACCTCATCATCTGTATGCGAAGGCCAATAGCTCATCTTCTATCTACCTTTATTGGGGACGACCAGCATTCTCCTCTGGCCAGTTCATCAACTATACTGTGCGTTGCAATCCTGTCGGCCTACAGAATGCGTCATTAGTACTCTACCTCCAAACGTATGTACAACACTCTAATGCAACTTTGTTTTTCTATAGAGCTTTCTTTAAGAAACTTCATGGATATTTTCACCCTTGAACAAACCCACTGGAATAATGAGCAATAGCAGGCTTAAGGTAGCCATACACTTAAACCGAGTATACATGGTGCAGATTTGCACAGTGGGTGCCGCTGTCTGCACCCTTCTGCCTAGCATCCCTCCATCAGCTGATTGAAGGAGACTGTCGGAAAATTCTCGGTGAAATTGAGCTGGCAATTAATCAACTGTTAGCTTGGTTTGGGTATTCTGAAGTGAACAATTGATGAAGGAATCTGCTATGTTTTATAGATTGAACAAAGAAAATATAAGCGTGTATATCCGGCTTTATACACGCACCCACTGTGTCTGACCGTTCCACCCTTGCGACATACGCCGCACAGATACACAGCACATTGCCGGGCAAGATCCTCCTTCCCCCTCCTTCCTCCAAGTGCCGCGGCTCGGCCAGGCCAGCCGAGGACGCGGGCTGGAGATACCCTGGGAATCCCCTGGACTTCCTAATTGGCAGTATATCCATCTTTGTCATATGCATGCAGAGACACTGTTTGCTCCCCTGTGACAGCTTAACCGTAAGTTATACACATACTTTTTAACCCTCATGACCCAGCCAGTCACAGCAGACTGGGCAGCATTTATCTATTGAACAAGTGTTATGCTATACCCAATAAGTATCTACTCAGGTTGTTGCACTCTTCCTTTTTGTGAATGTGAATTACCGGGTTCCTCTCCCGGTTTGTTGAAGAGTTTATGCACACCATCCCCGAATATACCAACGACCAAGATAGTTGACCATACTACAGTGGAGCGCTTTCCATGCTTTTTTTGTTTTATATATCCGGCTTTATACACCACTGTGGGTTGAAAAAGAAGAAATGCTCTACGCTAAACAAAGCCCCACTGGGCTATTGTAATCTGACTGTGGCAGGTGTGTTGCTGTCAGAATACGCAAACAGTGGTTGCAGCTGAATGGCTGCAGTCACTGTTCAGCCGATTGGAATATTGGTGTTTTGGCTTGAAATATTTACATTTAATATTTCTACATGGATTGCTTATAAAGGAATCGGCTTCATCGGTGATGTCGGTTACATAAGGCTTTGTTTTGTACGCTTAGACTTAGTTATCATTACCAGACATCTACTATAAGCAATATATCTAAACCTTGAATTATGAAGGTGCAAAATACATTTGGTCTGCCCGAGTTCTGAATGCATGAGAGTATCTGATCCTAACAGGGTGAAATATAAAATGACGTCTGCCTAGAAATGTGTTCTCCTGAATCCACCCAATACCAGAAACAACAGCAAGTGAGCAGTGCCGTCTAAAGCATTTTGAATTTCTGAAGAGCATCACATACAAATGAACAGCATAGCATTATCAGTGCAGAAATATTGGGGTACTTGGGTGACATCACCACAGTGTGCTAATTTTCTACAGTCCTTGTCCTTCAGTATCAGATGTGAGACTTCACAATGGTGCATTTGCTAGGAAAAGACCTTGGTTGAATATGCAGCGAGTATGATATTCGCCACTTTATAAAAAATGAATAGCACAGAAAACATTGTTGCAGGGCAGTTATTACCAAATGTTGTTACATTTCAGTGACTGCGGCCTGAACTGCAGAATGTGATTCACAAATCTAATAAATTATTTGATTGTGACAGCAAATATAAATGTGTCCCTATGTAGGGCCCTCTGAATCATCAGTTATAGACAGTACTGTTTTAGCATTGTAAATCTGTATTCATTTTTCAATCCAAGCTGAGCCTGACAATGTAATTCCTTGCATGACATCTGATTACAAAGCTCTGGATCGTGTTATATGTATCTCTGCAGGACGGAACCTCATATTTTAGTTCAGGACCTCGAATCGAATACCAAGTATGAATTTGCTGTACGGCTGCACGTGGACCAGTTGTCGAGTCCCTGGAGCCCTGTGGTTTACCATTCCACGCTCCCAGAAGGTAAGAATTATCAAAGCCATTTACTTTTACAGTGTATTGAATGCTAATAGTCCCTCAGGTCCTGTAAAACGGGCTGCAGCATAGACTCAGAGCAGTTATTGTGAACGTTAGTGCGGACCATATGGCTTTGTGTGATGTGTTGATCAGCATGTTGACACATTTGTAGGCGAGTGTGATACTTTTATATTTGATGTATTCATAACTATGATTCATGCCCTGTAGCTTTGAATTCTAATACACTTACACAGATAGGTGCTTTGTGTAGCCTATGTAAGTAAAAGCTGAAACATATCATTTTAATATGATGATATAACCCTACATGTATTATTTATGTCATGTATGCTATTAGCTGAATGTGGAGAAAGCATTGATTTGCTTTCTTTTAGGTCATCAGGTATTTAGTGAACGGTGTATAGAAAGCAGAGATGAAAGTGATTTACTGCTGGATCTCTGCTTATAATTGGAATCATGTGGACTGTAAATGATGATTCTCTGGTAGAGAGATGCTGTAAGCTAATTCATCTATAATAAAAAAAAAGTTGATACAGAGATGCATGAAATAAGAACACTTTCAAGTGTTCTCCCAGCCAAACATATTTTTTTCTGTAGTTTTGGATAGCATAGGGAAGGTTTAAAACATCTTTCAGTACATTTTGTGCTGTGCCCCTATGAGCAGATTTCCTCCCCACTTCTGTCTCAACAATCCTCTACAAAGTGAGGGACTGTAAAGTTTGGATTTCCGGTTACTTTGTCTTGTTGATGGTCATTGAGACATAGAGAGAGGGCAAACCTCTCCTGCGGGGTACACAGCAATAAAAACGTTACATAGGTAATAGCACTGCCTCACTCTAGCCAAAGCTAAAAAGACGTTTTGGTTACACGTACACTTTAAAATCTATATAAACTTTGTAACATATCAAGGTCATTATTTTTAAAGTCTTGGAATTCATCACTCTTAAGTGAAGGTAAAACATGTCTGCATATGGATCACTACAGGAAACATGTAAATGTAACCCGGGTGCTCTAAATACTAATATATCCAGTGTAAACGGCATACTATACATTGGGTTGGATTTACTAAAGGCAAATAGGCTTTTCACTTTGCAGGAGAATGTTTTCCTTAGCTTAGAGAATTAAGTGAAAATTAATTTGTGAAGAATACCCAAGTACATGCAATAAAACCTCATTTACTAAGCTAAGGGAAAAGTCCCATGCAAAACGAATAGACTATTTGCCTTTAGTAAATCAAACCTATTATCTCATAGTACTATGACCTGTGGAAAATGACTGTTAAATCAATAGCTGCTGCGAAACACTTTCATCTGTTCAGTAAATGGATATACTGTGATGAAAAATTCAGATTAATATTGTCTTCCTCTTTGCTTTGCTAATAATGCCCTTGAATATTTCTGTCTTAACACAGCCCCCAGAAGTCCACCAGTAGGTGTGAAGGTGACATTGATTGAGGAAAACACGGCTTTGGTCTCTTGGAAACCCCCTGAGGATATGTATTCATCTGTCACCCGATACACAATATTATATGCATCTAGTAAAGACAGTGCTGCTGGCAAATGGCAGAATATGCACCGAGATGGTAATATACCTGCTCTTGCCCAAGGCTGAAATTCTGTGACATTTTTGCTTCTGGTTGTTTTCATATTCAGTATTGTCTTAATATATCAGTAGGATTTTCTGAATACATGTTGGTTGATATATCCGGACAAAGGTCATCAAACATGCAGCACAAGATTCCTTACATTAGTGCTGCTATTTAATGATTCTTTCCAATAATTTATCATTGAGGAACTAGCAGTAGTAGAGTTTTGTTCTGTGTTAGCCATTGATTGATGCAGAAACATTGGGTCCTTTATTGGCTGACTTGTAGCTATTAAAGATGCAAGATTTCGAGATCCATTAAGTCCCTTCTTTAGTCTTCATACAAAGGGGTCTATTCACTAAGCTGCCGTAGGCAGCCGAGTGAATAAACGACCCGAAGTGAAGTGAGCCGAACGCTGTTCGGCTATTCAATTCAGGCTGGTACGGCTGATATCAGCCGTACATCGGCTTGCTTCGTGCAGCTTCGGTGCAGAAGGAATTTGACTCAGCCGATACAACATTTGGATCGGCTAAGCCGAACCTCCAGCAGGCTACTCGCTGCTGTTCGGCCTATTCTCATAGATGCCGAACAGCAGTGAGTGGATAGCGGAATGCCTCTATGGTACCGAGCAGAATAGAAAAACAGTTATAAAAGTAGTAAAAAATTAACTAGAAAACGATTGGGCAGCTCTGCTGCCGTCAGAATAAAAAAAAATCACCATAGGAATGCATAGCTAGATTCCTATTGGCTATTTCACTTTGCAATAGCCAATAGCAAACTAGCTATTGCACCTGCCCTCTGCTGCTGTCAATCACTAGAGGGGACCTGATGGAGAACTTCAGGTCCCCTCTGCTGATTGACAGCAGTAGTGGCCGGGTGCAATAGCTAGTTTGGTATTGGCTAGTGCAAATTGAAATAGCCAATAGGAATCTAGCTATGCATTCCTATGGTGATTTTTTTTATTATTCTGATGCTCTGTGTTTCTCTCCCGGGCGGCCGGGAGCCGCTATCTAATAGCGGGAGACTCCCAGGGCATCCGGGAGAGTTGAGCTGCCTGGAGATCAGTGTCCCTGGTTACCTGGTAACCAGGGACGCTGATCTGTCTGTGCAAGTGGCCGGAGCAGCAGTGAAATGCTTCAGCTTTCACCTCGGCTCAGTCGAGCCGAAGCATATGCTTTCGGCTCGACTGAGCCACTCGGCCGACTTCGGGAGCTGTACGGGCTATAGTGAATCCTGGGCCGAAGCTAGCTGAAGGATCAGCCAAAGCTGCTGTTAGATCCTTCGGCAGCTTTGTGAATAGGCCCCAATATATTGATGAATTAGTGAATATATGTCTCACACGGAGAAAATTAGCATGCAGAAAAGTTTTATGACACCAGTTTGTAAATATGTATTGGTGTGTATTGGAATTAATCTTTTTCTTTTTGGGCCACACTGCAAAGTGTTCCAGTTAAAAGCTGTTAATGTTGTAAATAGTTAATAGACTTGCACTGACTGAAAAACCCTGAAGGCTCCTACAGATGTTTCTTTTTCATTTAGAAGTTATGCATGGGAAGCCTTAGATCTAACTTCCCCTTGAAAGTCAATCAGACTTGGAGTCTCTATACCATTATTTTGATCATTGTTTTATAGTCTGAAAGTCTGTGAAGTATCCGAACCCCATGACAGCTTTATAAAGCACAGGCATATTATAGCAAAGGTTATGCCACAAAGGACAAGACACAGCTGCTGCTGAGAGTGCTACGCTCACCTAACACTTCATAACACAATTTGAATAGTGCTATGGACAGTTCTCGTTTTATGAAGTGTTACGTTAATTCTTTGATTCTTATAGGCTGGACAAGAGCATGACTCTAGAGGTCACAGTTTAAAAGCCTTGTGTATTGCAGTTGGAAAATGAAGCCATTGAATCATATAAAAGCTTTATCTCATTTATTTGCCACAAAATGCATGACAACCATTCGTTGTCCCTGGTTCTTTCTCTAAAACATTATGCCGGCCATCCACATAGGCGTTTTCATGCAATTTCTAGCAGCCTTTAATTGCAAACATAATAGAATGAATCAAGGCAATCTATTTCGAGTTTGTATCCTAACCATGAAAAAATAAAGCAGTTGGTGGTAGTTGTATTAATCCGTTGTGAGTGAAGGCTGGCTGAAAGTGGTAATATGACCTGAATATTTCCATGTATATGGCCAGCATTAGAGATACAGTGCAGGAACAAAATGTGATGCACATTACTGGTACAAGTCTACATGTATCTCATTGCCTCCTGTTATTAATGTTCAGCACACAAAAGGTCCAAAGACTGCAACATAGGTAAACCTAGCCATACAGTACACTGCTCAAATTCGACCATTGTGTGGCCCCATCAGCACCACTCCATTCAATAAAAGTCGATTTTTCAGTCAACTTTTGTCGATGGACCTGGTCTCAGCTGAAAGTGACTGCAGCCAATTAGGTGTCAGAATACAATAGCCCGCCACAAGGGATTCTTCCATCCATACTGTTTAGTATGGATGGGGGAAATTAAGTGCATAGTGTGTCGACTTTGGTTGAAAAAGCCAGTCTGAAAATTCTCTGCCAAACAATGAATGTAGCCAGTCAGCTGTCAGAATACAATAGCCCAACCGGGGGGATTCTCCATCCACACTGTTTAGCATGGCTGGGGGAATCAAGTGCATAGCGTACGACCAGCTTAAGAGTAGAGACAATGATTTGGTGAAACAATATCAAGAGTTCATTAACATAATAGGAAGATGTGTGACTCCCTCATTATGCATAGATATGTGTAAGCAAGAGCATTTGTGGGAAGTTTTGTGCAACTAACAGCCCTGTCACCTAATGACACAGTCTGTGTTGGCTATTCAGAAATTCATCCCTAACTATTTCTATAGCACATCCACTAAGCTTTGGAGCAGGCTAATTGCATGTGCTTGCAGCTTTGACATTTTGTTACGCTTTTTCAAGTCACCAATGCACATCACATTGGAAACCATTGATCAAAAGGAAATGGATGATTTATCTTTTTAACGCAGCTGCAATGGAAAGTCTTTGAAACACTGAGCTGTGTCTTACATGTGTCATTGTCATGGCTTTTAGTAATAATTGCAAGGCTGTGGTGGCTGTGTTTCATATCGTTTAGCTGCTTGACTTGGCTGTTCATTATTTATAGACTCCTCTAAATGAATGCATGTAACTAGCACCAGTCGAAGATGCTGTGGTCTGCAGGCAGACTTTACACTGCTGTAACTTAACCTCTGCAGTGTGCATGGTGTAATGTTCATCTCCTGTGATAACAGATGAGTTTCTTCACATATATACATGAACACAGTCCTTTGTGAAGAAGCACAGAGAGTGTTTGAATGTTTGAATTCTCTGTTTTGTAAATTAAGACTACAGTTTTGTGACATTGAGTCAGTGAGAAGTTCATTATTGATTACTGTCATATGCATTCTAACACTGGGAATTCTGAGCAGCTAATGAATTACTCAATAGCTAGCACAATAAATCTTATCGCTCTTTAGTAGTACTTGAGTAGAAAATCTGCCATGATCAGATCCCTTAAAGACTTAATGAAGCACACACCACATTCCTCAAAAACACTTTTGTTTTTAGACAAGTGGCATAGTCATTCCAAACTCATCTTCCCCTGTAATCTGTTTAGCTTCCCTTAGCCCCCCTTACAGGGACCCAATCATAGCTGTGACTCTGCAGATAAAGTGTATAATTCCCAAAATGTTTTTTTAGTTTTGGGTAGGGATGGGTTAAAACCACTGTCAGGTTATTTTTCTTACTGTCTGTTTACTATTGGGAAATGTCCCTTTACTTCCTGTCCAAAAAACACAACAGGACATTAGACAAAGTCTCCCAAAGTAATAGAAGGACATTTGTCCCCAGAACAGATGTCTCCATTGGTTGACTTTTCCTCATGTCTTGTTCTCATGTATGAATAAAGTTATTTTTGCCGAAGTAATGCAGTTTGTAGCTTACCTTGTTAACTTTAATGTTAATAGGAGGTGCCAAGAACCAAAGTTAGGCCAGAACCTAGAGTGGGAGTCTGCATGTGGCCAGTGGAGTCACAGAACCAAGTGCCTCTTCCCCTATATTACAGTAATCTCAGCACCAAGTTGTTTTACAGTGTTGTCACCAAGATAAAAGCTGAGCAGAGAACTAGAATTGTATAGTGGCTACAAGGAATCTTCCCACCACGGACACTATCCTTCTCCCTATCCAAACATAGAAAACTTTTTTCGCTGGAGTTCAGCTTCTACAGTTTTATCTGAAGTTGCTGAATCAGGATGAGCTACTAACATGCAGATAAGCTTATCTCCAAAAGCAGAAAACTAGAATGATTGTTGTTGGTTGCCTTTCCTTCTGCTGAAACCATTGGAAGGTGTATGCATTGTCTGTACCTGTCCCCATCACTGACAACTATCACCTGCTTTAGGCCCGATTCATAGCATATGCATTAGAGCTGCGCTGACCGTTGTTTCCAGCACAGCCCCAACGCAAGACAAGGCAATTTGCCTTGTCACGGACAGGCTCGGTTCACACTACCGCATTGCGATATGATCGGCGCATTGGCAGCGGCTGATGTGAATTGGCCCATAAGAGCAGTAGTACCACACACAACCTCTGTTTTTCAACAGACGATTGGCTGCTGTCACTGTTCAACTGAAAATGTTCCTCCTGGCTCCTTTGATTTTCTGATTGAAAGATGCCAGACAGAAGGCTGCTGACAAGGCTACCCACTGAGTGCACTTCACACAGTGTATGGCCAGCTTTAATTACTATAACAACGTGAGCACTCATTGGCTCTCATTGCTGAAAATACAGGTTGCTAAATTCTTTATACAATATGTTAAATATGCAATATGTTACAGTATACAATATGTTAAATGACAATCATTACAGCTTGTTAAATTGAGCATTAGTAGTCATGGGTAAGAGAGCTATCGGCTGACTGAGCAGCAGTACCATAATTGTCAGTTTAGTTTGCTTCAATTTAGTTGTTCCTTTTTGTATGTATGATTTACCCTGGATATTAAATTACAGGAGCGATAACAATGGCTTTGCTGGAAAACCTGCTACCAGGAAACGTCTACCTGATCAAGATCTCTGCTTCCAATGAGATGGGAGAAGGACCCTTTTCTAATGAAGTAGAGTTGGCCGTTCACCCTAAAGAGATGGTACACAGCAGCATGAAGTCAAAGCATTTTAATTCTGCCAACAGTCAAGGTCAGTGTGAAAATACTGCATACAAAATGAAACCGTTTCATTATTTACTCGGGAGCAGCAATTCTTCAAGACATGCTTTTGTTTCTGCCCGGCCACATTTTGCACAGCAGAGACAAATGACCCCATACAGAGCGTGACTATTCAAGCATCCCAATAACTGTATACAGAGGTGATACACTGTCACTGTAATAAACGTAAAATAAACAAATTAATGACAGTGATTTATACGTGGTTGTAAGTGCAAGTCCAAATCATATATCATGGAACATGCAATCCACTGCAGTTCTTAGGGAAAACTTCCAAATCAGCAATACTAAATCCTGCCCTGTTTTTATAGTTGTAATATTTACTGTGCCAAAAAATATATTTTACAACAGACATGGATGGTGGAATATTGTATAGGAGATGATGTGTTTCACTTTATCTCAAGCACTGGGTCTGATTTACTAAAAGTGTAGAAACAGTTAACTTAACAAATTAAATGTTCACTGAGCTGAGTAAGTAAGATATTGCTGTGTGTCGCTTATTTTTTTTTCCATTTACCCTTGTACATGATTGGGTATTCAAAGTGGACTGTTTCACCTTTTTCACTATCATTCAATTTACATAGGAAACACGCTCTTCAAAGTGAACATTCAGTTGGCGAATTAAACAGCCTCTATTCTTTTAATAAATCCACCCTATTGCGTTGTTAGTGCCACAGCACGTAGGCGCATGTGTGTTCACCCAGGTTGCTACAGTTTTTATAGTAAATAGGAAATTTTCAATGAAAAGAGGTCAACCACTTGTTATCATTCATTTGCTTAGCTACCATTAGGTAAATTACAGTGTGTACTTGTTACACATACCTGCCATGAAAAATATTCATTGCAAAAAGTATCGGTTTCTGGGTGTACAAAATGCAATAGAATGGACCATCATAGGAATATGTGACTCTGTCATGAGCAAAGAATGAGGGGCTGTCATTTCTGGCCTTTCTTGGCTATGGATAAAGAATTCTGACACTTTTCCATACTCATTTAAACCATACTTGTTCCAGTTTTCTGACTCAAAAGTATTCAGGCCAGACATGGCCAAACAACTAGTATTTTCAAAAGAGGGCCAGCAATGGCAGCCCATACTTTCTTGTGATATAGTCACTTTAAACTGTCTCTAGCTATTCTGAGCTATTCAGGAGTCTGTGGTGCATGCTGGCAGAGTTATAAAGCCTTGTAGAAGCACAATGACCATGGATTGTTCACAGTGTCATTGTAAAGAGTTGGCTTATACAAGAACTACACATATTTATATATAGCTACATAGCTATCACATAGAGTCATAGTTATGTTTGTATATAACATGCCTGTTAATACAGGTTTGATGTGCTGTTATGTGTGACAGTTTTGTCTGTGAAGTGTATTGATCTTCTACCACCTAATAAGATCTGCACATAGGTACAAAGGAGACTGCTAGATATATCACAGACATGACCTTACTTCTTTTCCATTGTCATATTCTACTTTAGTCACTGAGCACTATGGTTCTAGGCTGTTTAGCATGACAGTGTGCAGTAAGTGTATATAAATATACCCAACAGCATCAGCCTACTTGTCATACTTGCTGTGTTAAGTGTGTAATTATAATCATTGTGACTGCATTTTTAGATGTTTACTTTGCTAATCGTGTGTATTTTAATTCCTTTCACAAAGTTTGAAGTAATGACAGGCTTTCTAAATGGCTTCTTTTTGCAGATTATTCCAGTTTCTACCATCTGGACCAGAAGTCAATGACAGGAATTGTTGTTGGAGTGTGCATTGCATTAACTTGTATTCTCGTATGCGTGCTTATTCTAATATATCGTGGCAGAGCCAGGTTGGTATTTGCGATTAATGATGAGTATATATGTACCATATATGTTGTATAAAGTAATTTCCTTAGCCCACTATCACTGCATCGTCACAGCAGCACTAGAGAGAATGGCGAGTGCACGCAGACCGAGCCCATCTTGCTCCAGCATCAGCAGTTACTCACATAAAAAAAGTCTGGTCGCACACCGCAAGTTTCAATGGTTTATTTCATATTTAACAGAAATCAGACTTTGCTTTTGATTTTTGATATAACAGAATATTTTGAATTAAAATACAATTGAAAATGGCATGGAGAAAAATGATGTGACCCGTAACTAATGTTAATGGACTCATATTGCATAACCTCCCACATTTAGTCTGGTTTCTGCTGAGCAGAGCATTGTGGAAACATTTATAAGATACAGTTTATATTGTAATACTGAACATTGTAAACTGTATTTAAAAAATACTTTTTAAAATAGACTTTAATGAATGCATAACTCGGCTTAAGGATGATTTTTTATATTAATAAGAACTAATGTCTGTGGCACACCAGGAGTTGCTTATCTGCATCGCGAGACATGCGGTGCACCTCTGAACGCATTCCCTGATATTGTAATATTAAATGACTCATCATGTCACTGTGGGTGTATCATTATGAACACATGCAATGTCTTTGGCGCGCCAGTCAAATAACCTAAACTCATCATCTTGATATCTGTATTGCTGTATGAATGTACAGTGTGAAATTTTGCATAAATCATAGTTTGTTTTTTTACTTGCAGGAAAGCCACAATTGCAAAACTTGCTCAAGAAAATGACCGGATACCTCAAGCAGCTGCATTAATTTCTCATGAGAGTCAGCAAAGGAAGACTATGAATCAGCCAGAAGGAAATGCAGATCCCTTAATATCTGCTGTTGAGACAGATCAATACCTTGATTCAAAGGTAAGTGGAGAGGTGGAGATAAGTATTTTATAATTGCATGAGCATGTCTTAAAGTACTTTGAATGATGGTGGATGTGGTCATGCTACATTTCAAAGAGTTGTATGTAAATTATACATGTTCTATAAGTCGGAGATTGTGTCATCCCAAAAGGGACCCTACAATTAGGTTTTGGAGTCCTTTGGTTAATAAATTCCAGTCTTTGAATTCTGATGCGAAATGTGTTTGCTTGATAATCACAAACGTTCTGTAAACTTTGGGTTCCCGAAATGTCACACCCGTTATTGCATTGTAAAATATGTTTACTGCTATACCGGACTGGAATTAAAGCAATACATAATTTTAAACCCTGCTGTGCTTTCACATGACAGCTTACAAATCATTATCAGGGCTATTCACTAAAGGGAGAAGAGTCTGGAGAAGGCAGGAGAAGTGAACAATCTAGGACAACATAGCTGAATCGGAAAGTGAGCTGAATTTGAGGATTTTTCCATACCAGCTGCTTTGGCATAGATTGTCTCTTCTCCTACCCTCTCCAAACTCTTCACCCTTTTGTAAATAAACCTGTATGAGTTTTGTACATATCTGTAATGTGAAAGCCAGGACAAATGCATTTGAAAGTGGCATACAAAAAGAGTGGTTGACACCATACCATGTTCAAATTAAGGTGATCTCTTTTGTTGTCCTTGCTTTGAAATACTGACATTTATAACTAGTCCTGTTTTTACTCCAGGGTGGTTCAGATCTCATCATTAATGGCTATGGACCAGTTGTGAAAAAGAACTCCAAGAAAAAATGGTCATTTTTCAGTGACAGTAGAAAAGACCACTTGGAACAGGTAAATGGGTTGCTTACAGTTAGGTTTTAAGTATTTGCATGTTTTGTGTGGCTGCAGTGACCTGATATTTTTTTGCTCAACAGTCCAAAACAAGAATTGCAAAGGCTACTTGTTTATATCAGCCTGGTACTACTGTACTGTTGGGAGAAGACACATCCTCCACCCCACCAGGCCATCCAGACACCTTCCAGATAAGAAGGAGCATAGCAGCAGATACAGAACATTCTGGGAACAGCGAAGAAAGTCATGAGACCAATGATTCTGGGCGTTACTCCCATGAATCCAACGATGAATCGAATCTGTACTCTGTTATCAGCACCACTCCGCCCTCACTATATTCATTTACCAGTCAAGAATGTTCAAAGGACCCTGCCTTACCCAAACACTGACAAACTGGCCAGCGTCGGCTGCACAGGAACATTCGTTCATGGTACCTCACAAGATCCACATGCCCATAACATTTTAAGGGTGACGATTCCTTTAAAGCCAGATGCATCCTCCATGTCTGTTCGAAGGACAATGAACGGAGCCAAAACAAATGAATGTGGAATCTGGTTTCTCCCATCTCATACATCACAATTCACCCACAAAATGTTCCACAGAGTAAATCTATTGACTGTGAAGGTTGGCTTGCTGGATAGTGAATGGATTAGAAACTCTCCTGTTTTTTTTATGCCATTTGTCTTTGTTGTAAAGGGATGTCAAGCAGTCCCTTTGATTTATGTCTACCTCAGCTGGTCACACGATGAGCTCCATTTCGCTGCTTTACCTATATTTGTGTTTGTATGTCTCTCCTTACCCTTCATCAGAAATACTTCCTAAATGTTTTTTTTTTTATTATTATTTTTCATGCTGTGTAATGAATGTTTTTATATAAGGAGTTGTAAAGGCAAAACAGAGAAACGGTGTCTGTTAGACTTTCCACACGGTACTGTTACTTGGCTGATTATAGCATGGCTCCCTACCTAAATTAACTACTACCTCTGCAAACAAGCGTGTTAAACAAAACCTACTCTATGTACCTGTGGATTTCAGACTGATACTTATTCTGTTGTAACATCTGCCATCTAAACAGACAGCTGTGCCTTCCTTCTATTATCTCAGTAAAACAGTGCTGCCTTACTCAAATAGTGTTCAGAACATTACTCAGGAGTATAACAAGAGGCCTTAAACCCTTGGGAGTTTAGTACCTCAACCAGCCATATATCCATATAACAATTATCTTACAATGTTTGGTTCCTTTAGAAGGTTGGTTACAGTTATGAAAGTTAAGCACATTAGTAGGAGCATGGAAGTAAACTACATTGCCACTGAGATGTGTAATACATATGGATTACTATTAATGGTATGAATGCTATAGACTGTATATACTCATACATTGACATAATCGTTTTTAAATGAAACACAGGCTGTTTGATACTGACGCTTGAGATTTTTTGCCATATGCACGCTTGTTTACACTTGGGGATGAAGAGTGGCATGCAAGTCAGCCGATATGTTTTAGTGTTGACTGAATGTCAGAAGAGCCTTTGCAGAGCTGTTTACTCAGTGGCCAATTGTGCCTTTTTGCCTTTACAATTCCTGATTGATACTACCTCTTTTTTAATTGATGTCCTTGTTAATTTCCTGGACTCAGGGAATTGTGTATTTTTGTGTGTCTGTACCTCATGAATATATGGGGAAAATGTGACAGGGTATCATGCTTTTTTTTCTTGGTTTTAATAGAAGATAAAGTAGGTCAATTAATTAATCTGATACATTATTAAAGTGTACCTGTTGCATAAGCAGTCAGCCATTATAAGTGCTAAATCACCAGTTTGATATGTGGTGATAAATATACAATCATCACCAGATAATGAATAGTTGACAGGATTGCATTCCAGCCACATGTATATATGTAGCAATCGTTGGAAAGCTTTCACCCAGAATGGCTATAGGTTTATATGGCCAAATCTGGCAAAAGTCTACCTGCCTGATCGCCAGGCTGAGGACATGCAACTGCTACTTTAGTAGCCAGCTATGATCCTTGATTGGCTGCTTCCACTGTGAATGTGGGACAGGTGCCCTTTAACACAGTCTCCAGACATGTAAAGTATGTCATACCAAAGATTGTCTCTTACTTTGTAAGGGAAAACAAATTTTTTTTCCAAAAGAAAAAAAAGTTATTTTGCTTTTCGGCATAACTGCTAAGTAGTAGCAGTAGTAATAGTGATTGTAATAGATCAGTAAGGATGAATACAATCTGCATTTCAAACTACCTTCGACTTTGAATAGTCGTGTCCAAAAACTTCCAAGTTATGGTTTTAGTATTTAGCTATCAGCTCTTTATTATAACAGTATTAGATGACCTATTTTTGAACAAATTGCTTTATACGATAAGGAAGGAAACTTTAACCAAAGATTTATTTTTGGGTCTCGTCTTGCTATTTGTTTAGGTGAGGTTTTTTAAAAGTTAATTGTATGACCACATTTTCACACTAAACAGTTAATATGCCGGGGCAGCTAAAACCCAATATTGTTATCCTTTTTGATAGGGATATTAATGGGAAGTACATTTTGTGTGAGTTTTTTGCTCATTTCATTACAAGAAATCAGACTTCAACACATATATCGATAGATTTTTCATAAAGTATTTGGAAGTATTATAATAACATGTCAGGCAAAGGTATATTAGGTAGGCACATATTCCAGTAAACAATAACACCATTAAGCAAAGTAAAGCCCAGCTGCAAGCAAAACTTTTATTTCAGTTTTGGATAAAGTGAAGAAAGGATAGAAGTTCTGTCATGTTTGTATTCCTATTTTGTTTCTCGGGACAATTCAGCTTACTTACTGTCTTTCTGATAGTTGTCAGACCTGGAGCAGGGGGTGAGGGAGAATTTCCCCAGCAAGGACATAGACAGCAATAAAGACTTGTTCTAAGTCTTCCTCACTATGAAAAACAAATTTGGGTTGAAATTGGACATTAAATGGGACCTTCCCCTCAAATGAAACTGCCACTAGTACTGTGCTTACTATAGCAAAATAAAGAGAACTAATAATATTTTCTTGCCTCAAGTATGTTGCCACAAGCTAATGTTCCTCTTCTCCTCCCTCCCTACTCTGGCACCATCATTTTCACTGGCAGCATCATCAGTGCTAGCTTATTTTCCATATTTCACAGCTGGCGCAACGATGACAGGTTTTTTTTCCCTTTCATTCTTTTTTTCTACATCAAATTGGCAGTTTATCTACGAGAGTTCCCAGGAAGACACTGGTGATGTAGCCTTCTCAGGGTGAAGCTCTGAGGCCAGGGCTATGTCTCCAGTGCCTCAATCAACCAGGAAGTGAGATTCATTGAGATGTAGGTAACAGAATAAATTGCTTACAAATGCAAAGGTGCATGCATCAGGAATTTTCAGTGCATGCCAGCTGCATTGGTAGGCTGGTCCTGCTGCAGCTAGCTCAGCTTGGAAGTAAGTTTGTCTAAGCTGAGGTTATGTTAAACTAAAAGATTACATTTCAGCAATGAGCCCTAGGTCCGGTTAAACATGCTACAATAGATAACACCTTCTACGCACTGATAAAAGAGCATATGCTTTGCTACCTCTGCTAAATCATTGCTGCTGGTTTTTAGGAAACCCCATATGTAAGTAAGCCCCATAAGTTTCTGAAGGATACCCATTAGACTGTTATACATGTCAGTTGCATTCCATCAGTACTTAAAGGAGAAATATGACATGAGTGATTTCCACTCACCTCATAGTTCTAAGCCGACCTGTGACAATGAGACTGTCACAGGTCGGCTCAGTAGATCGGGAGGTGAGGGAACACATACCGGGTTCCCTCACCTCTCGATCATGTCACGGCTCTCTGCCGTGACAGGGGGAGGGGCTGGATTCCCCTCTCCGATCTGCCAGCACTCAGGCAGCTGGGCGGATCCCGTCATCTACGTCGGGATCCGCTCCAGGTGCGGCGTCTCAGTATACCGCGAGCAACAGCTCGCGGTATACTGAGCTTAGGGTAATGGGAGGACGCTAGTTTGTGTCCTCCTGTTACCCCACAGAGAACTATGGGGAAAAACACTGACCCCATAGTTCTCCTTTAACTGGAAAAATATGTTAAAGAGAGCAGTTTCCATATAGTGTAGGAGAAAGTATGCTCATGCTAAACCATAGTAAATGGCTTTTATATGGATGTCAACCTAAGGTCTATAAGGACCATTGGTCCCCTGAATTCTGCAATCTTCGAAAGAGTAGACAGTCAGTCCAGTCTCCACTAAGTAAGCAGGCCATTGCTTGTGTATGGAACTAGCAACCTATAGCTCTCGAGCACTTCTTATAGTGATGCTGTCATCATAGTACACATACTGTGCTGATCACATGCAGTAATAGTAAATAATGAGCTCTTACTAAAGCTTCCAGTGTGACATAACTCTGTTATTTCATTTTTCAGCAAATCATTTTCCTCCACCTCCAGCACTCCCAGGGTGTTGATGGTTTTCACTTCCTCACAGCCTGTAGAGTGCACCCATTTCTACCCCACCTCCCTCATATGTCACCACAGCTCTGGCAGCTGATTTTAGAAAACTGACAGAACTGAATCACAGAAACCTTCAGTAAGAGCTTTTTGCCTACTTTTACTGCTTCAGCAGTCCAGTATGTACAATGTGATGAGATGGTCAATAATTAAATGGTTAATCTTTTCACTGCTCTCTGCCTGCCTGCCTTTTTGCTGTAGGCTGTGGCTTTATAGTGCTTTCCTTTGCTACTGATTCGAGTGCCCCAAAACATGGCCATACCAGCAGTTTTGTCAGGTCTTGGTACAAGCGAGTTACAACTGCATATGGCTTAAGTTAAATATGTCCTATATATCCCTTATTTTGGCTAACAATTTATACCAAAGATATTTATGGCTGCTCCGGCATATTAAGCAGCGGAAAAGTCTTTAAAAATAATGTTTTGCTTGCTGGTGTTTTGGCCAAATGTCATGTTTTTTTACTGCATGGACCATTTAATTTAAATGTCTTCTTTCGTTAACGTTGTGTTCAAAGCAGTTTGCACCACCAGTGTCTCTAGTTTCAGAGTTGGAATAATCAGAATTCCAAGGAATGAGAGGTGACTTATGATCAGAAATAAAACAGTGGGCTTTAGTTTGTACAGCAAGCTGCACTTTGATTTTTGGACGTGTATCACCATTTAGCCAGTGAAGAAGCTTATTATATCAGGAGGTACAGGGTGCAATGATTTTGTGCAATGTGCAGTATTCCATAGCAACCAACTAAAATGATCTATTATATGATCTGATTACATGAAATTGAATATGATTGCCGTGAGTTACTTGCACCTAGGTGATAATGTAACCTGTTATTAAATAAGCTTGTTATGTATTTCAGACAGCACTGCTGTAT